AGCATTTTAATGACTTAGTTGTTCAATTGCAATCCAAGTGGGTAATGAGTGGATAATATTTGGGATAAGATAGAAAGATGAGCTTTTCAGTGGTACACAGGCTTTCCTTGTAACATGGCTGAGGTCAGAGGTAGATTGAGCTGAAGTAGTGACCAAGTCTTAACTTTGCTCTTTATACTTTTTAAGCAGATTCATAATTTTCTGTAGTTCCTCTAGCGATATGTAGACTTGAAAAAATGGGGAGCAGCTGATAATGATAAGTAAAATATGTGTATCAAAGTCTTTAAAATTCTCCTTCTATACTTCTGAAATCACTTGAGGAAAATGTGTTAACTTGGTTCATATTTTATGTGGTGAATTTGTCCTTATTAATTGTGTTATTAAGCCCTATAGTGGATATGTTAGTTAGGAGCTTCTAACTGTCTCCAGTATTGGAGCTCCACTGTCTGTCCCAGTTGTGTATGGAAATACAGCCATACTACTAAAGAATTTAAAATCCTGAAATGGCAATTATGATTAGAGAGGCATAGAATTCCCCAATTTTTATACTTCAACAACACCTACTACTGATAACTTAAAGAGATACTCCCTTTCAAAGGCCCTGATAAAATAAATCCAACAATTTCATTTTAAAAATTAATTTTTAAAAAATATTTGATCAATACACAACAAATTGTCCTTTTTTGTAGTGTTTTAGCATTCTTAAACCCTCTGCTGAAAATGCCTGAAGAGGTTGAGGCGTGGCATAAGCAAAGAACATACCATGCATTGGTGGATAGTTGATGGCTATATTTACAGAAGTTAGCACAGCTACACTGGGGTGTTTTCTCAGTTGTTTCCCAGGAAGTTGTTCGTCCAGCTATTTAAGAACCAGTGTCAGTATGATAACAATATGCTGGCAAACACATTTTTTCCCATGATGTTCTGAATGCTTGTCCCAGATATAAGTGGAAAACAGAGGAGCATACCTTGTTCTAGTTAGTGATGCATTAAAATTGTTCATCAGCTGTGTTCTGAGACAAGAATTTGTGCTTATTGCTTTGGATACATTGTTTTATCACCCTGTAAAATACACAGAGAATTGCATCGACTATTAATTTATTCACAACCTTAACCATTGGCACGTCCTAAATTTTAGTAAGTTGTTTACCTAGAATGATAATTTGCAGTGTAAATTATCACAAAGCACTTAAATGCCACTAATTGTAATGAGAAGTAAGCACACTGGCATAACAGTGAGTAAATGAAGCAGTGTGTGTGGCACTGAAGCAGCTTACTGATTTGCAGTGTGACAATATAGTTTAAATCCTTCTTCCTATTTCCAGCCTGGAAATCAGAATCTATTCTGCTAACCTTCTGAGCTTCTAAATTTGGTGTCATGCAAGGGCGTGTTTCAAAATTAGCATTTAAAAAGAAACCCACTTGCTTTAAGTTTAAGCTGACACTGTTCCTTTCCTCTGTGGAAATGAAATTTATTAATCATAATAAAACCATCATATTCTGAAGGTAGAGGTCACCCTGAGGAGAGAAAAAAAAAGTCTATTCATCACAGAGGAATTTCAATGCATTTTTTTTTCCCAGATAATATCTGAGCATGTGTTCTTTCCCATTTGGAAATATTTTCATCCATGTTTGTGCTTACATATGTCGAGTGTATTCAGGAGGGTGCAAAAATGAAAAATTTTGTAGTTTAATTTTATATATTTTCTTTTACAGAAGATTTGAAAGAATTCCTTTATGTCTTATTTTATTTTTACATTGCACACATTTGTTTAAGTGGAATTTCAATATCCTGTAAAAGAAAAAACAAGTGTTTGTTGTTTTAACAAGAGTATAAGCATCACTAATTCTGCAATAACATTTCTATGTTAATATCACTGTAAAACTTTAGCATTATCATAATATAAACTATTCTTTTTAAGGAGCACAGATTAACTTTGGTCACAGTTCTCACGTTAGGATTTCTTCACAACTCTTGTTTTAAGAAAAAGACATGGTTTACACAGAAGGATAAAAAAAAAAAGCAATGTGAAACACTGACAATAAGTGCTTGGAAAAAGAGTAATAAAAATGTACTCAGAAGTCAATACCGGGTTGAAACAGTCATATTTTCATGCTTTGGAATTGCTTAATGTGTGTGTTTATCCATATTTTCCCCTCAGTGTCAAGATTTCTGTTGAATATTGATATGATAATATTATTAGCAACGTGGTATATTACACCAGTGTTGTAAACTTGCCAGTTACTTCAGTAGTTGGCTTAAATATAATAATAATAATTTAATACAGCCTGAGCCCAGGGTATTCAGGCTTGGTCCTTCTTTATAAGAGGCTCTTGAATTTGGGCCACTTGCTGCCATCCCAGGTGACCTGTTGGACTTTGTTGTGTGAGGCAGTGGGACACAGCCAAGGATGCTGCAGGAAAGGGATGTAGGATGGAGGCAAAGTGCAGCCCTACCACTGGACCAAAATTAATGTATTTTTTACAGATATGAATTTACAGCCCTTGCTCAGCATTGCAGTGATACCAGATAATCAGGAAAAAAGAAAAACAAAGAAAATTTACCAATTCCCCTTGCTTTAAAAGTATTCCTCTTGCATGTTACTAAGGACATGAGGGAAACATACCTTTAAATTAATCATTTTCCCTTCCTAGTTGTTTTCTTTCTGTTGGAATAAAATTTGGCTGGAAAGAATTAAAATTATAATGATATTCAAAATTATCCGACTTTAAAAATTGGCACAGAGCAGTAATGTCTTCCTCCCTTCAGTGCAGGTGAACAAGACACAAGGGATTCTCTAATGGTTCTATCAAAGCTGAGTATTTCAAATCCCCAAATCATGTTTGCATCCTGATGTGGAGGGTTGCCAAGGCTGAGGTTTATGGAAGTTCTTCCTTCCAGAGAGGCTCCAGTGTGGGATCAGTGTCAAACCTGCTCAGAGAGATCTCCAGCTCCTTTTCCAACTCAGAGAATCACCAGGTTCTTCACCCAGCACAGACTGATGTGATCTGTTTTCCATCCTGTGCTTTTCCAGTGGGAATTGCCCATTTCCTTTGTTGGGTAATTTCTAAAGATAGATGTTCTTAGATGCCAAGTAGGTAGAATTGATATATAAATTTAATCCCTTAGTCATCAATGCTTTGGATGCAAAAGAGGAACTAATGTATTTTATACAAGCCTTTTACACATAATTTCCTGAGTTTCAGACCAGATCTTAAGGAAAGCAATTGCCTAACACACTGCTAGCCCTGGAATTTCATGTATCCCTGTGATAGCAATGAAGACTTCTCTACCTAATTCTAAAGCAAACACAGCTGTGGGGTGAGATACAGAGCCCATGAATTTGGGGTGCTTAAATAAATTAACTCATTTTTAATACATTATTGCTTCATAGGAATTTGGATTTACTAAGCAAACAGGACAGTACAACTGAAGGCATTCAGCTATGATGGTTGCACTTTGAAGTGAAACGTCCAGGCTTTAGAATGCTTTATAAGAGCTTAGATACACTTACATTTGCTCAAAATGCTGCACTCCTGTTGGGAAAAAAATGTCTAATTCACAGTGCTGAATATGAACCACTGTACACTTGGAAGTTTGTACTTACTGAACTGTTTTCTACTTTTTGGTTTTTTTCCATCAAGATGTGTGGTTATGTATTCTTGGAAAAGAGAAAGCATATGACTTCTGCAAGTGTATTGTCCTGTGTTTGTGCAGAGAGTCAGAGCCAGGGATGTTCAGTCTGTCTTTTCCATGCTGAACCCTTTAGTGAGCACAGTTGTCACAGGAGGTGATTTGCTGGATTTCCATATGAAAGGAATCCCTCATAAGCGGCAAATGTTGGCTCAGTGAGATGGGGAATTAAGGATTTATTGTCTATGGTAATTTCTGCTCCCTCCTTGAAGATGTCTCAGGGTAGGTGGGAATGTCTAGTTCAGATAATTTGGTCCTTTTCTCTAGCTCACATCCAGGACCCACAGTAGTGGGTGGTGGAGGATTGCATATGCCATGAAAACATTCCTTTCTCAGCTTTCCCTCAGCTGGTTAGCTCGGAATCCGATAATCAGATTCTGCTTGTGGAGGAGCAAATACATGATAATAAAATAGAACAGTTGTCCTCTTTTCAAAAAAAGTAAGTTTGTACATGTATCTGAAAAATAAGGTAGTTGCATAGAATGAGACCAGTCTGTGGTTACTGTTCACATAAGGCTAAAAAATAATGGCTTTTTATTTTATTTTTTTTTTAAGAGTTATCAAGGGCATTGTTAAACCTTGTTTGCTACATTAGCCCTCGTATTCAAGGCAGCACTGTAATTACAAGATTGCTTTTGTTGGTCTATGTGACACCTGAGAGCAAATGAAAATTGTTTGATTGTGGAAAAAATGTTAGACACTTGCAGTAGAAGCTGTCCCTAGCTGGCACGTCCATCTCACTGAGGGTATTCCCTGTATTTCCCCAGACTGGGCAGCAAAGCTTTGTGTGTCAAGGTGAGGCAGAGGACGGGGCCAGCAAACGCACCAGGGACACAGGGAAAGGATCTCTGGAGTAGCTGTAAGGATTTCGTGTGGGGAGAAATGACAAAAATCTGATTTTCACATGCCTGGCTTTGCCTGGCTGTAGCAGGAGCCTGGGCTGCAGCCGAGGCTTCACCTGTGCGAGTGTTTCAGGGAGGCACTGTCTGTGCAGGAGGAGCAGGGGTGTGCACCTTCCTGACACCCTGTGCCTGCCATGGCTCCACAGCCTCTCTCCTCAGCCTGGTGCTGATTCCTGATAGTCTCATAAACCTAATTATACATTTACTGTCATTTGTAACCTTCACTTTTCCCGAAGGACATTGCTTTTGAATCTGTGAAGTGAGTTTATTTGTAAGGAATTTGGCTAGAACGGAAAATTTCATTGAAACCATTTTGTTAATATCGATAATGTGTGGTTTTAACTTTTTTTCTTTCTTTTTTTTTTTTTTTTTTCCCATTAATCTTAAATTTATTTTCTTTTCAG